GTCCTAGGTGCTGTACAGACATGAGACAGTCCCAGGGACCCTGCTGTCTAAATAGAGAAGACAAAAGGTGATAGGTTAAATGGAGGCACAAGAATGACAGGGACTTGCCCAAGTTCAGTGATGCAACCAGTTCTCCTGGATCCCAGGCAGGGCCTGATCAATATGCTGCTGCCTCCCGAGAGCGGCTTTCCCTTCCCTGGAGAGAGGGTCCCACAGCCTGACTGGCAGGAAGTTCCTTCTGATTGTCTGTCTATTTACTCCTTGATCTGCCCCAAATACCCTTTGCTGTGGTATCCATCTCGGTAAGATGCAGGCATGTCCTCTCCTCTCCCCTCCCCAGCCGACTTGCTGAAGCTGTTCCCACAACCCAGCCCCTCACAGCTGCGCTCCCTCCGGGCTGGCTGGGTGGAGTGGGCTTGTTGCTCTCTGGGCTCTCTGTTTATGCTGCCTCTACATTGTGCCAGACTCCCCCACCTTTGTGAATTCCTCGGGAGCTGAGGGCTCAGCTGTGTGCCAGCAGGGAAGAGGGGTCTGGCTCTCCTGCTGGCTGACTCATGCAGGGTGTAGTTGCCACAGGCAAGTCTGAGGAAGGCTTTGCAGTTGAAGCTGCCTGGACAGATAGCTGCTGGAGGAGGTGGGGAGGAGGAGGTAAATTAACCCTTCATGGTCTTGGAGGAACTGTTCACCAGCTGTGCTGGGGTACAGGGAGACTCCTAGCCCAGAGTGGCTGCCTACCCCTTCTCTCTGACTACCCCTGTGTAAGGTAACTGTATAGTTCCCCCTTACCACAATACCCTGGGACCTGTTCTCATACTGCACTCACCACTGTGGTATGCGAATGCCTTCCACTAGAGCAGTGGTTCTCAAACTGGGGGTTGGGACCCCAAAGTGGGTCATGACTAGACATGTAAATATTGTTTAAAAGTTAACCATTTAAGCAGTGCATTATATTGTTTAACTGGCTAACTGATTAAAGGGAGAGGGGCTGGGGCTGCTCTGGGCAGTGCGGCTGGGGTTGGTGGGCCAGCTGGCCTGGGATTGGGGGTTAACATTTAGGGTGGGTTAACTGGTAAGACTAATACTTACTGGCTAACCATTTAATATTTTAAATCCCTTGTCAACCCCATTTTAATGCGGTTGCCAGGGCTAGCTTAGACTTGCTGGGGCCAAAGCCTGAGCCCCACAGCCTTGAGCTCAGGTTACAGGCCACCTGGCTGGGGCTGAAGCTCTTGAGCTTTGACTCCTTCCTGCCCAGGGCAGCGAGGATCAGGCTTTGGGCTCCTCCCATCTGGGGTGGTGGGACTTGGGCAGACTCAGGCTTTGGTCCTCCCTCCTGGGGTGTAGTCGTGTTTGTTTGTTTTTTTTTTGGCAGAAGGGAGTCACAGTGCAGTGAAGTTTGAGAGCCCTGCACTAGTGTGTCAAGCAGTGTGATGTGTGTCATCTGTCTTGTTTGCTCCTGTCCTCTTCCCAGGGGGAAACTTGAGGGTGGGTGGAGCGGTTTGTTTTTGATAGGGTTTTGTTTTGGATTGTCTTACTGGTCCCATTGCTCTGTTTATGCTGGAGCAGGCAAGTCAGAGAAATGTGCTTGGTCCAGGCCATGGCGTGCCTTGATGAAAAGGACTGAGACGCTGGTGCAGAGAGCAGCAGACAGGTTTGATGTGCTCACATTAGGCTGTGCTGCTGAGGAGTTGGGTGCAGTGTTCTTAGTGAGGGTTTTCTGAGGGCTGGTGGCCTCCTGCCCAGGAATAGGGTGTTGCTATGGTCCAGCTGGGTGGGGATGAAGACTGGTATAAGTTGATGCCAGAGCATCGTTCACCAGGATAGGACAGGCTCCCAGCCAACTGGTGATGATAGCAAGCGTTACTATGTGAGCCTCCTGAATTGACCAGTTGTGGGGCTGAAGCTTCAATCAGGGCCTGCGTTACAGCTGCAAACTCTTCAAAGTGCTTTCCTTATGTGCCTCCTCTCCTCTCTGCACCCCAGCACCTCTGCCTTCCTCAGGTTGAGCCATGGGGGAAGGAGAATTAGAGCTGGGTACCATCTGCCTAGCAGTGCTAGTTGAGTCCCTGGCATCTGATCTGCTTCACCTAGTGAAGGCAAATACAGCCGGAGTCAGAACTGAGCCTTGGAGGGCCAGTTTCCAAGCTACAGAGGGCCAAGTATTAAATCCCTTTTACAGCTGAGGCCCAGCAAGAGAAATTTGTCCAAGGTCCCCCAGGGCTGGGGCAGACCCTGTGGCGGGCAGACTAGCTGCCTCACTCCTGCATTAGCCTGCCCCTTACCCACAGGTGGGGGTGTGACTCCGGCAGCTTGGCTCAGTCCTCTGCTGAGCATTCACCCTGGGCAGCTGAGGTGGGGTGGCTTTCCCATGGGACAATAGTGCCCTTGTTTGTATTTCCCAGCCCCAGCCTGTGGAGCAGGTCGGGGAGTGAGATGGTGCCCTGGCCCAGTTTGTTATTGGGCTACTTCAAGGGCCATGCTTTGCTCTGTGGAAAGCAATAAGTAGTGGTGTCCCACCCCGTGCTGTTCAACATATTCATCAATGATCTAGAAAAAGGGGTAAACAGGGAGGTGGCAAAATTTGCAGATGATACAAAACTATTCAAGCTAGTTAAGTCCAAAGTAGACTGTGAAGAGCTGCAAAGGGGCCTTACAAAACAGCAGATGAAATTCAATGTTGATAAAGGCAAAGAAATGCACATTGGCAAATGTAATCCCAATGACATATAAAATGATAGGGTCTAAATTAGCTGTTCCCACTCAAGAAAGAGCATTGTGGATAGTTCTTTGAAAACAGCCACTCAATGTGCAGGGACAGCTAAAAAAGTTACCAATGTTAGGAATCATTAGGGAAGGGACAGATATATTTTTCTATCTAAAGCCATGGTATACCCACAGCTTGAATACAGCATGCAGGTCTGGTTGTCCCAGCTCAAAAATGATCTATTGGAACTGGTACAGAAAAGGGCAACAAAAATAATGAGGAGAGATTAATAAGACCTGGGCCTTTTTAGCTTGGGAAACAAATGACTAAGGGAGGAGGGATATAAGTGGGGGAGGCAGGTCCTATAAAATCATGATGGGCGTGGAGAAAGCAAATACTTACGTGTTTTTACTCCAGCTCATAAACAAGAATGAGGGGGTCACCAAATGAAATGAATAGGCAGCAGATTGAGAACAAACAAAAAAGTATTTTCATACCAGCACCCAGTGGAACTCAGTCTTGGCCTTCACAGCACCCTTTGGCAAACAGCGTTTAAAAAATAACTAGGTAAGTTCATGGTGGGGGTGGGAGTAGGTCCATCAATGGCTATTAACCAGGATAGGCAAGGATGGTGTCTCTAGCCTCTGGCCAGAAGTTGGGAATGGGTTCTAGGGGATGGATCACTTGATTACCTGTTCTGTTCATTTGCTCAGAAGCACCTGGCATTAGCCACTGTCAGAAATCGGGCTACTGGCCTAGATGGACCTTTGGTCTAACCCAATGTGGCTGTTCTTACGAATGGTGAACCTAGCACTGTGGCTGCTTCCAGGCTGCTACTTGATCACTGTGGGTGGGTGGTAAACAAGAGGCTAGCAGAGAGTAACTGATGGGGCTGTGCCATGCACCCGATTCCCCATCTGGCCAGGCTAGCTGTTTTTCTGCCTCCTGTTGTGATTGTGAGATCTGTGGGCCAGACCCCTCTCCCTTCTGAGTGTTGGTGTAGAGCACCTAGCATGGGGGGGAAGCCACCTGCTCAGAGCCTGTGGGCACCACTTCAATACAACTAATTCACAGGGGAGGCCAAACAGCCTGCAGGTTGTGTAGAGCAGTGTTTAAAAGTAGCTTCTCTACCTTCTTTATGCACCCCCCTGTGAGATTGGTTGGAGTTAGAAGAGGTAGGTGGGTATCAACTGCTGGCTGGATGTATAATAGGAAATAGTTTAGGGTTTTGTAAAGAGTTACAAGCCCCCCCTGAACTAGAGAGGATTTTCACCTAGCCAGGCTCAAGGGGTTTAACTGAGCAAAAAAAAACAACAAAAAAAACACCCCTCACATATTGACAGGTTTGGCTCCCACTACCTTCAGTGAACCTCACTTGCAAGGAAAAGGCAGCCCCTAGGCACAGTGTGAGCCATGAACCAGCTGCACTTGGAGTGGAGGGAATTTCCACTTCCCTCGGGCCTGGGGTTGTACTTGAGCCGCTCAGTTCCAGTCCCTGAGCACCGGAGCCAGGTTAGCCTACCCCCCCTTGGGTAGATACAGCTAGCTCAGCAGCACAAGGCTTCTGGCGCCCTTGCTCTCCCATCCCTGAGAGCTGGATTAACCAGTTGGCAGGAAAAAACCTGTTACTGCCAGAAGCGTCTACACACTGGTGCTAGATCAGGAACTTTGGGCAAGTCCCTTAGGGTCAGATTTGGGAGGTGTAGAGCAAGGGGCTTGGTTTCACCCAGAGCATGTGGCACATGGGGGGGGGGGCCCACACTTTTGAAAACTTGGCCCACCAGCTCTCTGTCTCTGTTTCCTCTGCTGTGAGACATGGCTAGCTGTGCCTTGCTTTCTTAGAGCAGAAGCTCTAAAGGGCAAAGAGGGGCTGGGTGTTTACACAGCAAGTTCCAGCCTGCAGGTGCTGCCGGTAGAACAGAGCACTCCTGCTCAGGCCAGCTCCCTCGGCCTGGATTGATGCTGTCAGCCTCTTCCTTCGCTCTAAGCAGAATCCTGCAGGTCGACCATGTCCCCCTGCTCCTGCCATGGTGCTTTGAGGGAGCCAGGCCCTGCTATTATTACCCTATTAAAAGTCAATTATCTGGCCTTGAGGCTACTGCCTAGCCAGCCCCTCTCCTGCAGAGCCCTCTGCATGCAGGCCCACCCCCCATCCAGCTCCATCCCCCAAGGGAAACTCCCAACGGTTTCTACCCAGCTGCAGCCCACACTCAGAGCCCTGCCTAGCAGCCCCCTGCTCCCCACCTGGGGAGAGGTCATGCCCAAGGCAGCGTGACACAGAGCAGACGCAGCCCCCTTCTGTCCAATTCCCATTTATTTCTTAGCGACCTCATCCCCGAGAGGAAGTCCACTAACTCCTGAGCAACTCTACCAGGCTTTACAGCAAACCCTTGTGCCTGGAGCAGTAAAAGCTGGAGCGGGGCGGGGGGGGGACACGACACATACAAGCTTCCAGGCCTTAAATTAAAGTTTTCAAAAAAAAAAAAAAAAAAAAAAACCCCAAAAACCCCAAACCCAAGAAAAAGCCCCCTCCCTGCTCAAACTCTTTGCAGTGCACAGCTTGAAGTCAGTGGCATGGCTACGGCTGAGGGGACCGGTGCAAACACAGCATGGGAAGAAGGGAGAGGAGGTTCCTGCTGCAGCACTGGCTTTTACATACACCCGTTCCTACTGCATTCCCATGCACACCTCCCTCCCTCCCTCCCCACCCCTGGCTCAGTAGGAGCATCAGAGCTGCGAGTACAGGGAGTTCTCCATCTCCGGCGGGAGCTTTGAGTGGAAGGAGGCGAGGCCGACGCCGAAGTCTGCAAGAGAAGCACAAGGTTGAAGGATCAGCGCTAAGAAATCCTCCCTGGCAGCTGCTTGAGAGGCTGTGGGGAAGTGGGACACTGGGGGCATGGCCTCCTAGCTCATGTGGGGCCCCTGCTCTGGCTTTATGCCACGCTGCTGCATCTCAGTGGAGGCCCACGGTGTTGGGTTGGTGTAGAAGGCAAGCTTCTAGCCCAGCTGGTGACCAAGAAAACCTGGTCAGGTCCAATACAACAGGAGCTGGTAGAAAGGCCCAGGCTGTTATCTGCTCCAGGCACCTCACCTGACTCTAAAGCCTAATGATAAGTCCAAGGTCGCTGCAGTTTGGTAGAACCATCCAGTTGTTCTGGGCTCGTGGGTGGAGCTGGAGTCAATGCACTGGCCCCTATAGGAGCACTTCAGCCAGGACACCCGGGCAAGGGGCAGGTTTCCCAGACAGGTTGCAGGATGGAGATGGTGCCGCTCAGACAAGTGGGGAAGCAGTTAACCTCAGGGGGCCATTTCTATGGCAGCTTTAGCAGTGGCCACATCTCTCCCCTCCCTGGGCATTGAGGCTTACTCCCCTACCTAGATCAGCGAGAAGTTTTTCTCCCCCCCTAAACCTCACCAAGCCAGGCTCCCTGCTTCTCCAGCCAGGAGGGGCAAACTGCAGCCCTGTCAGGCTCTGGGGAAGGGTGTGACTTTGGGATATGACCCACTCCTCCCCCTGAGACTACAGGCACACTTGTCATGCGAAGGAATCTGGGCTGAATTCCAGGGATCCGGATCCCCAGATCAGCTCCCACCAGCTCCTCCCACCAGCAAGCGTGGCAGATTCCCAACCCCCACCTCCCCTCACTGGACCGCACCCATCTCTCCATCCAGGCGGCTGGGCAGGGGCGGATTCTTGTGCTGATCCTCAATGTGCAGCGTCATCTCTTCCCGCGAGGCGCTGGAGTACGGGCACTGCATGCAGGTGTAGCGTCCTCGCGTGTGCTCCCACACAATGCGGCTGTTGGAGGAGTGGCCTGCAGCACAGGGGGGTGGAAAGCATGGGCCCTGACTCGCTGCTGCCCTGGGATAGCGGTCACACGGCCATCCCCCCTCGGGCATGCTCAGCTGTTGGGCAGCACCTGGGGACACACCCAGCAGCTGATGGCCGCCAGGAAGGGAGATCCGAAGGCCAAGGCAGGCAGCATGGTATATTGGACGGGGATTCAGGATGCCTGGGTTCTATTCCCAGTTCTGCCACTGACCAGCTGGTCCCCTCCTGCCCTTGGCCTGTCTTGTCTCTTGAGACAGTATGCGCTTTGGGGCAGGGACTGTCTCTCTCTGGACAGCACCCAGCAGGGTGGCCAGGGTCGCTGGTGCCTCTCACGGCTACTGTAACGCCCCTAACATAGAAAAGGGGCAGGGGGCTGGGCCAGTGGCCGTTCCAGCTAAGCCCCAAAAGGGCAGGTCATCCCCCAAAGCCTTCACTGCCGCCTGCTTGGCTCGGCTGGGGAAATCCAAGCCTCTCTGGTAAGGCAGGAGAGTGGCCGATTTCCCACGCCGCCCAGCAGGGACAGGCCAGCAGACGCTGCTTTCAAGAGCTGCCAGGCCTCCGAGACCATCCCTGCTCTGCAAATGGTCAGAGCCCCCAGAAACTGCAGGGCCACTCTCCCTCCCCAGGTATCGGGGCCAGCGCCCCCCAGACACACGCTAGCAACATGGCACACAGCCTCAGGCTGAGGGTAACAAAGCCAGCCCCGCACAGGGTTTGGTTTAAACAAGAAATCTTGTCCATCAAGACACCACAGCAGCAGTCAGTCCCAGACAACGGATAGACTTTTCCCCCCCACCAGGGCAGGCAGCACCCTCCCTTGTCAGCTAGAGGTATTAAACGGTTGACGTACAAGGCCTCTGTATTATGTCCCTTATCGAGGGATTCTGAGGTCCCCCATCCAGTGACTGAGCAGTCTTGGCCCTGCTTAGCTTGCAGCGCAGAGGCAATCAGGGCATGTGGCTGCAGGTTAGAACGGCCAGACTGGGTCAGGCCGCCTCGCCCAGTATCCGGTCTTCCAATGCCAGGTGCTTCAGAGGGAATGAACCGTTATTGGACTAAGCCTCCCAACCACACGTATTGTGGTTGTTTTGCCCCCTGGGTGGTGCCCTTGGGCCTTCCAAGGACTAAGAGCCCTTTGCGGTCCTGTGTGACGTGGCTAATTCAAGCCCTCCTCCCTGCTTTCCTGGGGTTCCCCAGTTCCCAGGGCAGGTCACCCCCTCACTGCACTGCAGCACCACCCAGTGACCAGAGAGCAGCCCAAAGCCGAGAGGTGCCGGACTAACCTGAAGTCACACCTGAGCCAAAGCATGGGAGGCGTGGGCCGACGCACACACCTGCGAAGGGAATCGAGGGGCGAGACAAGCATTAGGCCTTCCCCTCCCTTGGCTGGGGGGGGAAGGGAAGCGACCGAGAGGCCCTGGCTCGGATGCCAGCAGTGTCCAGCTGCCACTGGCTTTTCAGAACAAGGCTGACAGGACCAGGGGGCATCGCTCCACGCGCTGCCCCCGCCGGACTCCACGGACATCTCCAGGGGGTGGGAAGCGGGACGGAGATTGGGGGTGGGGAAGCTGAACTGGGATTTTTTTTAGCACAAGGAGGGACTTTCACACTGGAGCAAATGAGAGGCAGGAACACGCCCCGGTGCCCACACCATCCGCAGGTTTGCCAGGGTGTTAGCTGGGCAGCAGTCGCAATAGCCTGTCACCGGGGCTCCTCCTCCCGCCAGATCCTGTGCCGAAGGAGTCCCCGGCGCAGACCGACGACGGTCATCACAGGAAAGGGAGCGGGGCTCACCAGCTGAGCACAGCGGCCACAGGCTGGCGGGAGGGAGCGAGGGAGGAACAGGCCAGGGAGGAGTCTCGACCTCGGTTACAGAACGAGAGGGAAATTCTCAGCTGGCGTGGTAACTCCTGAGGTTGGTGGAGCCAGCGGGGGATTCAGCCCAATATGCCCCCAGGCCTTGGCAAACAGAGCAGGGCAAAGGGGATCCTGCATCACGCCCCATGTCTGGGGAGCCCTCCAGGAGGGACGTGGGCCTTGTGATCAAGTTTTCCCATCGAGCAGCTGGTTTGTTGGGGGTGAGATCGTGGGACGAGGGGCGGAGAAATGGCCACTGGAACCCACCCCACCCACCATGGAGTCCGGGACAGAGGGAACCTAGGAGCTTGAGCAAGTGGGATCTCTCTCGTTCTCAGGGTGGCAGGGGGAAGACCAGGCAGCTGGTGGGTAGCGTCCTCGGCTGGAAGTGCCTCCCTGCCCACCTGTGGATTCTCGCAGCAGCAGCCTGGGGCGAGCCTGGAAGGAGGTTTGCTGTAGCATGGGTGATTCCCAACTGAAGATGACAGATTTACCTGCTGGCCCTGTGTTCTCACCTTGACTTTTCTTCCACACAGCATTGGAGACTGGGAGGCCTTGGCTGGGCAGGTACGGCCTGAGGCGATGCTGAACCGAAGCCTGAGGTAAGCCGTAGGGAGACGGGTGCATGTAGGACAGGAAAGGCCCCGGCACCGTGGAGTGAGGCTGGCCCGAGAACCGGGTCAAGGACGATGGCCCGAAGAGCGAGGGCTCCAGCAGAGGGAACGGGTGGGAGGCCGGAGAGACCAGAGGCATGGACTCCAGGGAGCCGTGGAGACCAGGGAGACTAGTGGGGAGTGAGGCTGGCACCGCGGTGGAGACAGCGTCCATGCTGGGGAGGATGGCTTCTTTCTCCATGTGCCGGATGACGCTCTGGAGTTTGGGCAGCGCCTCCAGGGGCTTGGCCGGGGGGTCCTTCTCCAGGCCGGAGGTAGCAGGTGGGGTGGGCTTCTCGGCTTTCTGCGCTGGAGCTGGGCTGCTGGTGCTGTCGGAGCAGACGTGCAAGTGCTTGAAGAGGGAGCGGTGGGTTCGGAAACGCAGCAGGCAGTTCTCACACCTGGGGAGCGACAGGAGCGGGCGAGTCCACAACAGCCTGGCCCAAGGGGAAGCCCCCATCCTGCAGGCTCAGCAGAGAGGCCAAGAGCCGAGCGGACCAGGAACTTTCTCTCTCATGTAGAAAGGAGCCATTCCAGGCACATGGCCAGAGGTGGAGCCATTTTCTGACCCGACCTCCCCCCGCCAAACCGGAGTCAGAGCTGCGGCTGCCTCCTGCCCCTGGGGTTGGCACAGCAGTGCCAGCGGCCACGGGCCCCTCTCGTCAGCCGCCGCCCCCCTGCTGCGCTGCCCAAGCTCTGCGCACCTTGGCGGTCACTCTGCAGCACAGACCCTGACCCTTGGAGGCGGGTCCTTTGGGTTGTGGGGCTCTAGACTGCAGGGGACAAAGCCAGCGCCAAGGAGGGAGAAGAACTGGCCCATCGGATCACTCAGGGGCACGGCCACAAGCAGAGGGACAGCACAGAGCGGAGGAAAAAATTATACCCTGCAGGGCAAAGCCCACTGCCTCCTGAACAGTCCCCCAAGCCACAGGAGAGAGCCCCATTGCTTGGCACATTTACGACAGTGCCCTGGAGAATAGCTTGGTGGGTGCAGTGCCCTGCCTAGGAGATCTGGGGGCTCTGGACTTGCTGGGACCAGTGAGGGGGTCGGTGGGGGAGAGGGGACTTACTTGAAGTAGCGGTTTGGCTTGTAGTGCACCTTCATGTGAGCCACGAGGTCCTGCATGCTGGGGAAAGTTTCCGTGCAGCCCTGGGTGGGGCAGTGGAATATTTTACCTGGCAGAAGAGGGGCAGAGGGGTCGGTGAGACACTCAGTCAGGTCCACCCTAGACACAACGGTCTCAACTTATATCTAGGGGATTCTTTATAACCAGCTACGCAGTGGTTATGGAGCCCAGCCCCTTCGTCATGCACAGTGCTCACCTCTGCAAACACGCACAGAATGTCTATTTGCCAGTAACCCTCTGCAGGGAAGGCAGGGGACCCAGTTATCACAGCAAGGCACATTTCAAACCCCTCCCCACCCCGTTAAAAAAAAAAAAAAAGTTAATTATACAGTTTACCAGCACAGCAGCTCAGCAGAGAGTGGCTGATAAGATGAGGGGAGGGGGGTTTGGAAGAGAACCTGGAGGTGGGGAAGTTAGTGAATTAGCTTCTCCTCTGATAGCCAAGGGGCAGATTTGATCTAGGTCCCAAGCAGCCAGATGCACAGAGCGGGGGCACTTTGGGGAGCATGTGCACGATCAGAGCCAGTGGGCTGAGCGTTTGGGATCAGCGAGCTGCTGTTTGCGGACACTTGGCTGGGCGAGTGCCGCTTCACACTGTCTTGGGGGACGAGGGGGGGGGGTTTGAAACACAACAACCCCCCCCCACCCTCCAGTTTTATAGCTACGAGCTCCCATTCCCACGTCCTGCTATAAAAAGTTACGACCAGAGTACCCAGCACCTCCCGTTGTTCCTTGTTGCAGCAACGGAGAACTGAGCTCCTGGGAGAGTCCCACACCTGTACTGGAGCCAAGCCCACGTAAACCCGGCCTTGCAAACTTGTACGTTACAATTCTCCCTGCACAAGGGCTCCAACCAGCCGGTCAGTGGGTAGCGATACCATGCGACTTCAGTGGACAATCACAGCTCCGACAAACACTCACGCAAGCCGCCCACAGGCTGGAGTCTTGTCACCAGCTGCTCAGTCATCAGCAGCAAACCGACGCTTTAGAAGTAGCCCAGCAGGGCCGATGCCCCAGAGGAAGCACTGGGAAGGGATAACGAGGCCTCCCCATCCAGCCTGCCCGAGCACGTGGTGTCCTGGCACCCCACCTCTCGGCAGCAAGGCCCCCTTCTCCCAGCACCCCGCTGGGATGATATGCAACCCAGGTCTTACCCTCCAGGGACTGGGTGGGTCTGTAGTGGACTCTCATGTGATCCATCAGTTCCTGCATGCTGTGGAAGGCCAGCTTGCAGCCGTAGCTTGAGCACGGGTAGTGCTTCCCTGGAAGGAGAGAGAGCCGCCGGAGTCATTTCTCTCCCAAGCCCCAGCATCTCCCCTCCCTTCATGTCCTCCCTCTTCCCCAGAAGTAGTGCAGGGCCTCGCTGGTCCTCCGCGGCTGGCGTCAGAATTGGCTGATGTGCGTCATGCCCAAGCCAGCTACCCGTGAGAACACGGCCGTCTGCCTCTCGCAAAGATCTGGGCCAGAGATCCTGCAGATGGGACACGTAGCGGGTTTACCCAGGAAAGGGGCGCAGATGGCAGCAACGGCCCTTTGCTCCCCCCACAGCATACCTCACCCCGGACCTAGGGGGATCCCCAATGGCTCATTCAGGCTGGGGCTCTCTGCCAAGATGAGCCACCAATGGGGCTAATTCACACGGCGCGATGGTGATTTTTGCACTGTCCCTGAGGAGACCCACCAAACTGATGTCATACAGGCTGCTGAGTGGTCAGATGGCAACAGTTTCCAGTCCCTATCAGCCTGGGCTCTGCTTGGACCAGAGACAAAGGGTCCAGAGCTTTAGTTCTCCCTTAGAAAGATCCCATCATGACCCTTTTACAGTGTGGTCCCCATTTTCTTTTCTTCCCATCTCTGCCTCTCTCTTGCCACTGCCTGGTCTCTCTCCCCTGCTCCAGGTAGCCACTGCTTTCCCTTGCCATCTCCTCTGGGTCTTCTCCCTGGGACCGTTCTCAGGGTGAGCAGGAAGAGTTTAGCAGATTAGCCCAGGAACATAGTAAAGGAGTCTGGCCCGAACCCAAACCGCTCCCCCTTCTCTAGCTTAGATGGAAAGCCCCGAGAAGGGGCAACGTCAGACTAGCAAGAATCCCAGGTGAACACTTAAGGGACAAGTTCGAGTTAGTCTCCCTAGAGAAAAGGGATGAACGGTCGTGGCCCTTTGAATGTACCTAGAGCGGTGCCCTCTGCTGGAAGAGAGTGGACCTGCTGGGAATCACAGTTCTACCTCCTCCCCCCCTCCATGCACTGCTACTCCCTTGAGCTCACCTGGGAGGGGTCTGCGCTTCGGGAGCCGCAGGTCCTGAGCTTGAGCCCCGCTGCCTCCACTTCCCGTTGGGTGCATCTGGCTGCCCGACACTGCCTGGTCATTGTCGCCTGCTGGAGAGATCCTGAATTACGACGGGCGCGTGGCCACCGGAGACGAACTCCTAGCAGCCGGGCAAGGCCGAGCTGCAGTCAAGAGCAATGTCGCCCAGTGCATAGCAAAGCTATTGCCAGTCAGCCACCAGGCAGAGGCCATCAGAACAGGAGTGCGCTAGGGACAGTGGGATATTTCAGCCGTCGTGGCGGTCTCAGAGTTCTGTATTTCGATCAAGGCCATTGCTGGGTGCCACTTCCAGGAGTTTGGATTCCTTTTCAAGTTGAACCTGGGTTTTGGTTTTATTGGAAGCATCTGGGCTGGTCTACCTTGCAATTCAAAACCCGCGGCTGGCCCGTGCCAGCCGACTCAGGCTTTGGGGGCTCGGACTATGGGGCGGTTTCAGTGCGGTGTAGATGTCTGGCCCCAGGCTAGAGTCCAGGATCTAGGACCCTGCAAGGTGGGACGATCCCAGAGCTTGGGAGCATCTACACTGCAATTAAACAGACCAGCTGACTCAGGCTAAGGGCACAGGCCAGCCACGGCACAGACCTACCTCCGAGTACATCATTCCGGCATGGGTCTCACCTGAGCTTCTTGACATAGGCTCTCAGCCGGAACGCCAGGCTTTTAACACCTCGGAAAGGTTTAGGAGCCATGCTGGGAGGGAGCCACATGCAGGCCCCTCCACAGGGCATCTGGGGACAAGGAACCAGCTCTGTGGTCACATCTTGGCTCATCTCTATTTCCTAGCTGCTCTGAGGCACCAGGTCTTCCACATCCCACCTTTGGAGGCCAGCAGGAATGAAGACCTCAAGGCCATTTAAAAGTCAATGTCCAGCTCATGCACTAAGTTCTGAGGTTCTGTCTGCTCTGGAGCAAAGAACTATTCTTTGCATAAAACTCGTTAGCCCCTGGATCCAAGAAGGGCATGCCCAGAAAAGTTCTACACATGGGCGTCTCTCGCCTAGGGACGAGTCCCATGGAGCACATGAAGGATGCACTTTGGAAGTCAGAACTTTCATTGACCCAAATGGATCCCCCCCGAAAACTAAGGGGACACACTAGATCTTCACCACCAGGGCTATGCCACGGTCCAGACCTGGGGGCGGGGAGTTCGTAGGTCCAAATTCAGCTACACTGAAGAGGGTAAGACATTTTTTCAAGTGGGAAAAGTATTTATTATCCTGTTCTCCCATAATTCCAAGCAAGAAACTGGAGAGATCTTTCCACCGTCTTAGTCTGATCCATTAAGTCACCTGCCCACCCCGTCCAAGCCTGAAGGACTGGAGGAGAAAGGTTTCAGAATGGGAAGTTGGAAGGGAGACAGCCTGGCGCTCGTCTAGCTCACATCACGGCCTCTATCCAACCTGAAGAGGGACATGCGGTCTTAACACGGGTGGGAGGTGGCAGCAATGACCATGAGACGCACACCATGCTAGAGGAGTGCTCAGCTGCATCAGCAGGAGAATTCTGCACATGGTTCCCGATATCCCACGTTTGACACCTCCTCGAGCAGAGCCTCGTGGGGGGAACCCACGCAACGGGTTCCGCTTGTGTGTTACTGTGAGCGGGGGCTTTCCAAGAATGGATGGCTTCACTCTGCAGCCTGCCACACACACACAGAGCCCGTGGCTCTTCCCTCCCATGCCAACTGCCTTGCAACCTGCATCCACCCTCCGCATCTCCCACAGACACTTCTGCTCCCTCAAACGTATTTACCGCCCAAGGAGAAGGAGGGCAACGCTGCGTCTTTCTCCGTCTTCAGGGCTTTGCTCTTGACGGGGCCAGGCGAGGCGTAGTGCTCGTGGTAAAGCGAGGGCCGAGGCGGAGCGGGCAATGCCGGGCACTGGCGAGGGGCTCTTCTCCTGGTGATGCTAAACCAGACACAAGAGGACAAGGTCAGCCGTGCACAGAGGTCTTGTGAACGTGCAAGACCGACGCCTCCCCTCCCCAGCTGCCAGATGTGATGGACTCCTGCAGGGGATAGGTTCTTTAGAAGAGGAGGCTGAAAAGGCCAGGGGTGATTAGTCTGGGGAGGGATACAAAGCTGCATGGCCCATTGGAGCGGGGAGCCCACCACATCCTCTGAACATCATGCCAACCGCTGGCTGCCCCCCAAAAGCAGGGCCTCCTCTGCCTCCCGAACTAGTTGCTCCTTAAAACATTTTAGCTTCCCCTGCCCCACCCCTCCCGAGTATGGCATGGGACAAACTGCTTGAACAGCGGTGACCAATTCCCCCCCATCCGCCTATTTGCTCCTCAGCTACTGGGGCATTTGGGTGCTAAGGAGGGAGCTTTACCTCGGCCTGTGGCCACAGGAGCATCAGACTTCCACAGCGAGAAAACGGGAGGCCCATCCAACGGGGAGGGGAGGGGCTCACAGGGAAGATTTTAGTCTGTGTGGGGAGGCATGTTAGGGAATTGTCCTGGCCCACCAGCATTCTGCTTTCCCTTGCCACTCACCTTTCCCTGCCCCTTGTCCCCCACCACCGAGGAGAGGCCAGCGTGGCTGGAATGGAGCTGGACGGGGGCAGCGGCTGGGCAGAAGGACCTTGGGGTGGACAGGAGCACATGGTGCTGGGGAAGGAAAGGAAGGGGGAGCTGCTGGAGGGGACGGCTGGTGAGGTGGGTGGGGACTGCTGCTCATTCAGGGCCTGGTGAAGGACCTGCCCCTACAAAGCTGGGTCAGGTTCTCGGCATGAGCAGATGGCAGGGGCTTCCTGCTCTAGGGTGACCAGACAGCAAATGTGAAATATCAGGACAGGGGGTGGAGGGCAATAGGAGCCTATATAAGAAAAAGACTCAAAAATCGGGACTGTCCCTATAAAATCGGGACACCCTATACTGCTCCCTCAGGCCAGGGTGTGGGGTGGCAGCACCAGTCAGGAACAAATCCCGTCAAACCAACCAAATGTCCTTCTTTGACAGTGCTCCTGGCGCAGCGGATAGAGGGGAAGCTGTAGATGGGGGATCTCTTGGATTTTAGTAAGGCTGTCCCACATGACGCTCTCATAAGCGAACTAGGAATTACTACAAAATGGGTGGTTGAAAGACTGCACTCAAGTCGTAGTGATCAGTGTCAAACTGGGAGGGGTAGGGGGGTCCCACAGGGGTTAGACCTGGGTCCGGCGCCGTTCAATATTTTCATTAAATGACTTGGATCACGGAGTGGAGAGGATGCTTCTTAAATCTGCAGAGGTCACCAAGCTGGGAGGGGTCAGCAGCACTTTGGAGGGCAGGATTAGAATTCAAAACAACCTTGACAAATTGGAGCATTGGTCTGAATTCAACAAGATGAAATTCAGTAACGACAAGTACAAAGTACTATATGTAGGAAGTGCGGGGCGGGGGGGGGGGAAATCAAACACACAACTACAAAGTAGGGAATAGCGGCTGGGTGGTCATACCGCTGCAAAGGATCTGGGGGTTACAGTGGATCACAAATTAAATAGGAGTCAAACCATGTGATACAGGTTTGAAGAAGGCCAATATTCTGGGATGTATTAATAGGAGTGTTGTATGCAAGACACGGGAGGTAACTGTCCCACCGTACTTGGCACTGGTGAGGCCTCAGTGGGAGGATGGTGTCCAGTTCTGGGTGCCACACTTTAGGAAAGAGGTGGACAAACTGGAGAGTCCAGAGGAGAGCAACTATAAAAGATTTAGAAAACCCGACCTATGAGAAAAGGTTAAAAAAAAACCCAGATGTTTAGTCTTGAGAAAAGACGACTGAAGGGGACATAACATGTTTGAAGACTGTTAAGGGCTGTTACAAAGAGGATGTTGATCCGTTGTTCTCCATGTCCACTAAAGGCAGGACAAGAAGCAGTGGGCTTAAACTGCAGCCAGGGAGATTTAGGCTAGATCTTAGGGAAAAACTTTCCAACTCTCAGGGTAGTTAAGCTCTGGACCAGGCTCCCAAGGGAGGTTGTGGAATCCCCATCACTGGAGGTTTTTAAGAACAGGTTGGACAAATCCCTGTCATGGATGGTCTAGGTTTACTTGGTCCTGCCTCAGTGCAGGGGGCTGGATTTGACGATTTCTCAAGGTCCCCTCTTCCAGACCTGCTTTTCCTAGATTCTCCTTGGATCAGTGCAGCAGGTGGCCAGGATTGCTGGGGGCCGAGCGAAACCCAGGATCTTGGCCAGCCTTAGCCAGACCCCAAGACGGTCCTGAAAACTAGGAGACTCTCACAAAATAGGGCCACATGCTTAGCCAAACGAGTAGGGGATGAACAGGGAGCACAGAAGAGTATCACATGGAGTGGGGGGGTTTTCAGACCTATGGTGGGCTCCCAGCTGGGGCCTGGTTGGACACCCAGCACCGAGAGCCGATCATCTATGAACAGGCACCACCCTCATAGGAATAGCAAGAATAAGGACCCCATTTGACATGTTGCTCTAATGGGGCTCTCATATCATGACACCACGCTTGAAACTCGGTGTCAGCTTCACGGACAACAGGTCTTGTCAAACAAACAAACTGGAGAATTTGTTCGGCTGGCCCCCCAGAGTGCATCGTAAAGGTCACCGGGTTGAAATGGCGTGTATTTGGCAAGGCATCCAGCCCGGAAGTCTGCACAGCAACGAAACAGCCCTGTGAGCCTGAGTCAGCTGGCACGGGCCAGCTGTGGGTTTTCCCTTGCTGTGTAGGCATACCCATAGTCTATGCATCTAGCCCGTACCCCATCCCTGACAATGCAGAGTTGCAAGAACCTCCCTAGTGGACAGCTAGGGAATAATATGCCCGTAAGGATGTTTTCCCCACCTCTGGCAGTTAGAGGTGGGGTGTGCCTGGAAGCAAGAGGGCTTCCCCCCCCCAGGGATGTTCTAGTTCTTTGAGCTCCTACGCATTTTCTCAGGATCCAGATCTTCTGCTGAGCACCCCCAACAGGCCATTGGAAGATACCCTGCATTCGTATCAGGAGCCTGCTCCTCCCAGCCAGCACGTGCACCCAAACGCACAGTGCGTGCCCCACAGATTGCGCTGGCCTCAGAGGAACGCACCCACCAGTGGCCAGTTTTTGCAAAGCCTTCCCCACACGCAGCACTGAAGACATCCGCGAGCTCAGTGCCTGCAGCTAAGCTCCTGCGAGGAGTACGTAGCTCAGCTGCAAAAACCCCTTCGCCTCCCCATGGCAAGGAAGGTGGATCAGATGCAGGAAGACACTGGCTTGGTCGGTCATCTGCCTGCCAGGACAGCTGATGACGGAGCAGTGCATGGTGGGAGCCCGCTTTAGCTTTCTCTCCCCCACAGGGCCAGGGAAATAGGCCTTCCCTATGCGGGTCCCAGCCTAAGCCTATTAGAAACAGACCGTCTTGAAAAGCCATTTTAAGTTTCGTTAGCTGCAGCGAGGATGAAGCATTGAGGAGCAGCAGCTGACAGACAGATGGGAGCCGAGGCAGGGAACCACACACACACACACTGCTGGGTGCTGTGCGGAGATGGGGAGCCAGTCCTCACCCTGAGAAGCTGGTCGTCTAAATGAGGCCAAGCTGCCAAATGTATTTCCCCAAAGCTGTCAGAGCAGAACAGCTCTTTAGGATGGTGCCGAAATCAACCACCCCTGCAGAGTGACTGCATTAGCCCTGGGCTGTGAACTCCTCTCTCATGTCGGGGACTGGGCTGTTCCCCCCACCTGCACAGGGAGGCAGCAGCGGGAGGTAGAGGACAGGGCTGTGTAGGGCACCCCATGCCATTCCATCAGTCGGCTCATTGCCTGCCCCCCCCCCCGCCATGGAGGGCTCAGGGCAGCCCAGCTGCTTGGGGACAAGGAGGTGCCAGAGCTCACCCTTTGCTCAGACTCTCGCGCAGGGATGAAAAATCTAACGCCAATGCTACTAACTACGGGGCAGGTCCAGCGGGAGACCATTGAGCCAGTCCACTCCAGGCAAAGCGCCCACCATTAGAGCTGGATTTCTGGTTTGCCTGGGCAGATGTCCTTGGACCAGTGGGGCTGCTTCCCCCCTGGGCATGGGCGTGTAGCTCTGGTTCACATTGGCACATCAAGAGCAGGGCACCGCCGTGGTGCGACTCACTAACTTGTTTCCAGTAGAGCCTGGTGTTTACTCTGTACCAGGCCTGCATGCAGCCGAGTACCCCACAGCCCTGACCACAGGGGAGGGTCACATAAGTTGCTCCATGGCCTCCTTGATGCTGGCCTTTCTGCCAGTTGTGGACACTTGCCCCACTAGGAACTGGCCTGTCACCATTAAACTCATTTTCATGCAAACCACAAGTCAGGTGAATGATTTTTGATCATTATTGCCCTGGACAGGATCTGAATCCATGACCTAGAAGTGCAAGGCTCCCCACTGCCAAAATCCCCAGGATACCCGCCACACCCCCCTAGTATCTAATGTGTTTCTCCTCCTGGCACCCAGTGAGGTTTGACTTTTACAGATGACATGCCCATGGTCATACAGGAGGCCTGTGGCAGAGCGAGGAATTAAACCCAAATGGCAGGCTAGCACCCTAACCATGCCTCTTGAAAGGGCCACAGATGGATCCCTCGCTGCCAGGGATGCCCAGGCCACTTGCAAGCCACCGGTGAGTGTGGCACCTGCCATGCTTAGCTCGGTGCTTGGGGCAGCTGGTACTGCACAGAAACAGACCCCCTCAGGCGCCTCCGAGCAGCAAGGCTGATGGCGGGCAGAGGCTCGGTCCTGGTTTGTACAGAGGTAGCAACCTTTAAAAGCCTGCTCTGTGGCACACAAAGAGGAGCCTGTTTCCCCTCCTGGCCGTGCTGCAATAGAGCATGTCGGGGCTAGGGATTCCCCAAGTGAACGCAGGCCCCATGCAGTGACAAGCATCGCAGTCAGCGCCAGCTAGGGATGGAAGGAGATAAGGACCTTGCCCCAACAAATTTGCCACGTGGCTTCTCAACCCAGCTGCACTGTATGGGAGTTGTCAGCAGTGGGGATTGAACCTGGGACTTCTGGTTCGGAGAGCAGGCGGCCCACTGCCTGAGCTAACAACACCCCTAGCTGCTGGCAAAGGGCCGTAGCAGATTCATTGGCCTTCGTGGGCCAGCCACAGCCCAAGCACCATTCTGACCTCCTGTCTTAGTCAGCCATATTCCCCTCATGGATTTTTCAGTGGAAAAGTAAAAGCGACAGGGGAAGAACCCGGGTAGAAGAACGTCCTCGCCATGCCCAGCAACTTCCCATTTGCAGGTATAGTGCAGGAAAATACTTCCAGGTTATGGCTGGGTGACATCTCACCTTTTGTTCACCACAAGCATTTAAGCATGATCTTAAGCCCTGGCAGAATTGGGGCTGAAAATTGTACTGATCCGAGGCTGGCTGCTTAACTTTGGGGTTTGTATTTAAAACAAAAAACAAAACAAAACAAAAAA